CTTAAGGATCTACCACTTGAGCCACAGCACCACTTCCAGTATTCTGGTGGTTAACTGGAGTTAAGTCTCATGGACTTTCCTGCGAAGGCTGGCTTTGAACCTCGATCCTCAGATCACAGTCTCCTAAGTAGCAAGGATTAGGGGTGTGAGTCACCGGAGCCCATCCTTACTTCTTCACAATACATTCAGAGACACTACTATTGACTCTAGAAATAGCAATACCATTCACTCAGCTCCCTATAGTGAGCATGTGATGATGGGGGGGGGGGGGGGGGGGAAGAGACATCAACCCCTGCCTTCTTGATAGATGAGGATGGAAAGAGGAAGCCAAATCAACAGGCATGCCCATGCACCAAGCCTATCGCCAAAAGAAAACAGCAAGGCCACAAATCTAGGACAGTGTGATGAGGTTAAGGTGCACTGTTCAAAATTCTCTGAAGGCTGGGAAGGTGGCTCAGTGGTAGAAGCTTGCCTTGCATGAAGCCCTGGGTTCAATTCCTCAGTACCACATAAACACAAAAAGTCGGAAGTGGCACTGTGGCTCAAGTGGTAGAGTGCTATCCTTGAGCAAAAGAAGCTTAGGGACAGTGCCCAGGCCCTGAGTTCAAGCACCAGGACTAGGGGTGGGGGTGGAGAGGGAGGAGGCGGGAGAAAGAAACAAAATTCTCTGAAGCTTAACAATGCAAAGAAGTTGATTCTACTCTGACTCTGCAGTCTATAAAGTGTATCATCAAAACTGATTACCGCAACTCAAGGAAGGAGCTTTATCTGAATTACTGAGCATATTTTACCTCCATTTTATAAAATTGGTATTTTGATTAAATGTGATTCACCGTAATGAATTTCACAAAGAAGAAACCAAAAATGTCAACTGAATACTTACTTCATCATGAATTTAGCAAACCCACCTCCTCATAAAAAATACAAGCCTTCCATAGTCTTTTGATAAGGCAAATTAGATACACTAGCTGCTTCCTGGCTTTTAATTGCCATTCATCTGAAAAGGTCTCACTGTAACAACACCACCTCCTTCCTGCCACTGTTACTCTCTTTGCACTGTCTTTTGGATTTTTTTTCAGGGAAAAAACACGAACTAGAAGCAGTTTCTTTTGCAGGGAGAATTTTCATTTTCCATTATTAATATTTCATTATAATCAAATAGTTTCATGAAGTTTTGATCCTAAGGCTGAAAGAACAAAAACACCCTTTACAAAAAATGCCTCTCCAGAGACACAGCCTAGAAAAAAGCTCTGTCTTCCGATTACAAGGATTTTGTGCTTTCCTCCTCCCCACAAAGTGCCAATCAAGCCACCAAATGACATCAAGCTTACAGAATTCATCAAGTAGAAATTGTAGGTTATTTAGTAAACTCAAATTTACATGGGCTTCAAGGTCCCTGGCTTAATCACTTTGGGCTGCTACAACAAAGCACTGTATTTCTCGTGTTTAGTTATGGAGGCTGAAGTCCAAGATCCAAGTATCAGGATGTGGGGTTCTGATGAGGGCTCTCTTGTAGGTTTACAAATTGCAGTCTTCTCCTTTTATCCTCAAATGGTGAACAGCAAGTACTTTCTGGAGTCTCTGTTCTCTGGGGTCCTTCCTATAAGGCACTAATTCCAGGGGCTCTACCTTCATGTCCTAATTACCTTCCACAAGCCCCATCTCCAAACACCATCACCTTGGGACCAGGGTATTAAGATGAATTTTAGGGGGAATGGGGACACAAACATTTAGTTCATTGCACTCTCTTTTGAAGGAATGTTAAAGTAAGTTGTGCACAAGTGGCTTTCTAATGCTAGGCACAGGCCACCTCTCACGGCTGACCTCTTCATCTCTGAGGAATTATTGCATCTGACCTGCCGTCTACTGAAATGCAAACTAAGATCAGCATTTCAGAAAAGCTGAATTCCTGTGCCCCCAAGGAGAAACACAGATTGGCATAGCAGACAGAGCACTCAGGAGATGCCCCGATGTATATGGGATAGATGTAGTGAGGAACTACCAAGGGCCTAGCATGGTCCACGGCTGAATAAATGCTATGTCTACCATGTCAAACTCTTTCCAAGCACATATAAATACTGCATGACTAATAAAGGTGGGACCCATGCATGAATGATAGGAAGTAATTTTTTGTCATCATGGATTTTCTTACTCAAAAGATATCTGGTTTTTGTTTTGTTTGTTTTTTGTTTTTTTTGTTTTTTTTAACAATAGGGTCCTCTTTATTTAAAAGTGTCTACACTTTAGGTAGTCTCTGAAAGTCCTTCACAGGGATTGGCGCACAACCCAATCCTTCTTCATATGGCAATCAAGTCACCACTAACATAAATAGAAAGAGGGCTATGTCTAAGCGATTCTAGAGAGTATCAACTTATTTTTTAATTGATCTTTAACATCTTCAAACAGAAGCAAAAAAAAAAATCACATTACAGTTTAGTTATCACTAAACATTTCTACCACATGCCAGCCAATCCACATAATTACTTCACTCTTGTCTGAAAGGTCTTGAGAAATAGAGTTGAGTGTATAGTATACACAATCACCATTATTTACATTGAGAGCCCATCTTTATGTGTATTATGCTGGTAATAATAGAAACACCTTTTTAAAGATCATTTAATACCTACTGCAACTTTTATGGTACATCAAATTACAAACTTACTACTATGAAAGAAAACTGTATCTTCTAACATAGCTACATGAACAATGAATAATAGATTAAGTGAAGGCAAAGACCTCTCCAATCCTACAGATATCCTATGGATGATTTAAAAAAAAAAAAAAAAAAGTTATGCAGGCAGTCAGTGCTCCGCAACTCAGCAGCCATTCAGTCATTAACAATCAGTGCAGCCTGACTGATGCCTGTAACCCTACCTATTCATGTGGCTGAGATCTGAGGATAGAGATTTGAAGCCAGCCTGGGCAGGAAACTGTGAAGTTCTCATCTCCAATGAACTTCCAAAAAGTCAGAACTGGTGGTGTGGTTCAAGTGGTAGACTACTAGCCTTGAGCAAAAAAACTCATGGGCATATGCAGTAGGAAGTCTTTGCTTCTCCACCACTGTTATAAATCCACCTGGGTGCACAGTGAGCTGCTTAGTAACCACAGAGGGTCTCTCTACCACGGTCCATCCACTGGCATCTTTCGCAACTAGCCTGAGTGGGAAAGACTGACATCTCTTAAGAATTCCTCTATATTGGAGTTCAGCACAAAGACTAATATTTCACTGTCTTGACTCAGTGAAATATTGACCGCAGCAGTCATACATTTCAATGCAGATCTTTAAGTTATCGACCCCTTTGCTTTTCACTGTTTTTATATGGGACATTGAACTGCACAGTGAAAAATTATTTTTGCATAGACTTGAAAACAACTCATCATTTCCCTACTTTCTTCCCATCAAAAGCTTACAGAATCAAAACCAGAATGACAAAAAGTTGCTAAAATATGGAAGCAAATTCTTCACATAACCACTACTGTCAGCTATAAAGCGCTGTCGGAGAAGACACTTTTACGTTCTCCCAATTCTGATCCTGCTCTTCCAACTCCGAACAGAGAGAGTAAAGTTAAATTGACTCTTTATTAAATCCCCTTAATCACAGAACTATTTTTTTTTATACCCTGAAAACCCTGAATGCTTTGTAGTTGGCCCTCATTGCTCAATTCATTCTCTACTTCCAAGCGTCTTTCTTCTTTCTCATTCAAACATGGAGGATTTGCCCTAAAGCAGTTTAGAAAAAATGACAGAACTTATTTAACATGATTAAGAACAAGAACATTATTTTTTTAATGCATAAATTACACTAAACGGAGACTTGGAATTCTTCATTAAAAAAAAAAAACTATCAAGGAGCTAGGCCCTGGTGGCTCATGACTGTAATCCTAGCTACTCAGGAGGCCGAGATCTGAAGACTGAGGTTCGAAATCAGCCTAGGTAGGAAAGTCTATGAGACTTTTATCTCCAATAATCACCTAAAAACTAGAAGTAGAGCTGTGATTCAAAGTAGTAGAGCACTAGCCTTGACAGTATCCAGGCCCTGAGTTCAAGCCCCATGACCAAACAAAACAAAAACAAAAACAAAAAACTACCAGAGTCAACAAAGGTGGTCTCTGAACTTGGTATCTATAAGATATCATCTATTCCACTTCAATGACCTTATCTACTTTTTCTTCCAAAGCCATTCTGTTCATTTTCAGGCCTAAGTACAGAGTCTAACATGTTGGAAAATTAGCACCCAACATAGGTGGACCCAATTTGCCTCTTTCATGGTATGAACTACATCTCCTGTAGGAAACAAAAGTGAAGCTGTAGCAGATAAGGTCGAAAGCAATTTCCCCTGGGACCCAGACAATAACGTTCTAAGAAGCATCCTTCTCTAATTCTAAGGGGATTTGTATCCTGTCAGCCAAGCCAAAAGGCTCCACTTCCATTTTTCTGGGGTGTGGGACTGCAGAAGTCCCTGTGACTGGAAGAAGGACCATCTCATCCATCTCCTGGCATCCAACTCACAGTCTAGTCTCTGCTTCCCAGAGAGAAGGACACAGGTGTCCTCACCAGGCAGAGGGTCTGGAGGCAGCCTGCTTCTCCTGACAGCAAAGCCCCAGGCAGTGCTTAAAAAGCTGACCCTATTTCCCAGGAGTAAAGAAACAACTTGCAGAGCCACCATTATGTGTCCCCCAGCTGTCTCTGCAAGGGACTGAAGTCTCCCATCAAAGCTCTGGTGCCCACAGGCTGGCAGGCCATCAATGAAGTGTACTAGGTCCCTACAGGCAGTGGAGCTCCAGACCTTAGAGCCAGGTTGCATTACCACTACTGTGCTTCTACTGCTTGCCCTCTTTGAACCTTAAGGGATGGGGATAGGAAACTGGAGTCTTCCAATGGGACTTGTCTTCTTATTAGCTGCTCATGACTGAAAAGGAAGGCAATTCCTCCAGATTTTTGAGTCAAACACCTGGCCAAGTTCTTTCACTAGAAAGTATGGAATGTAAATGCACCTTACCGTAAGGGTATTTGGTATCCAACTTATTCTCTGCTGTCCTACTCCAAGGCAACTGGTCATCGCTGCACCCATTGGGCATTCCATTGTACCCTATCCCAACGATCTTATTTTCAGCATTCACAATGCAGGCTCCAACCTACAGGGAGACAGAGACGAAGGCTGGGTGACTCCAAATAGCTGACCTGCCATGAGGGCAAGGATGGGGAGACAATGAACTGGGGCAGGAAAATGTAAGCACGTGACCACAGCACCAAGGATAACAGGTTTGCATTTTTTAAAGTTGGTAACTGCTCCTTTCTTCAAATCTGCTCATGTGTGGACATGCATTTATGAGTCTGAAAACATTCTCCTCTGAAACTCACCTGGGAATTTGGATCTTTGCTTCTCTGTGCTGACAAAAAGGCCACCGCCATGAAATACTCGGGCCACTCCAAATAGTCATCCCGTTTTTTGCAGGAAACTTCGCTCATGTTGAGTCTAGAAAAGGAAAAAAGAAAATCACCATATAATGTTGTGACAAAAAAATAAAAACAACAGACATATTTTAACTTTTTGTGTATGTGCTGGTCCTGGGACTTGAACTGAGAGTCTAGGAACTGTCTTTAAGCTCTACCAACTTCTGGGGTTTAATGGTTAATTGGAGATAAGAGTCTCAGAAACTTTCCTGCTTGGGCTAGCTTTGAACCACAATCCTCAGATCTCAGCCTCCTGTACAACTAGGATTACAGGCATGAGCCACTAGTGTCCCCCACATTATGACATTTTGATCCACTTTCCAACTCAATCCAACCACTCCAATCTCTGGGTCTTTAAACAGAGGTGACTTTGGCTACTCTTATCAGTCAGAAACCCCAGCTCCTACACAATCTCTGATGTTAAGAAAAACATTTAAGTTTGCATTTGAACCTACACCTTCACATTCTCCAATATCTCATCTCCTTAATGCATTTTCATAGGATGCTTTTCTAAGTGAATATATGCAGTTGGGCTATACACCATTCCTACATTCCTTATACACTGGAGTCTGCATAGGTGGGAGAGCAGAGAACCATTTGTTGGTCACCAAATAGGTTCCTGAAGTTTATATACTTAAGATTCCTTGTTTACATAGAATATCTTACTTAAGCCTCACTTCTGGCTGAAGTAGGCAGTGACACCCATAGAGGCTTTAGGAAACTTGCCCTCAGTCACACCAGAGTTATCTGTGCCAGGATTTCAAGGGAAACAGCTGAAGGTGCACAGATCCTAACATTAACAAACTCATTTGTCTTTTCCCCTTAGTTGTCCCAAGTAGAACAGTTACCAACTCCAGGGACTGCATCAAACGTTCAGTAACATGGGCTTTCCTGAAGGCAGGCACAGACACTCTACAATAGGAACAGCCCTTGAAGTGAGGCCCACAACTTCAGCTCAGAGGATCCTTAGAAAAGGGATGAAAGGAGGGGAACTCAAGACCATTCAGTTCCTCCTGCCACTGAGAAATCTGGATGCCCATCCTAAAAGAAGAGGAGAATTCCAGAAACCTTCCTTAGGCGGATGCTGTTGAGCCCTGCGGAAGAGCCTGGTAGGATGAGGTGAATAGGTAGACACCAGGAGCCACGGTTACCCACAGATTCTGTTCCCGTAAGTCGGAGTAGCCTGCAGGAAGGGATGTGCTGGATTGGCCTGTTTTTCCCACCAGGTTAAAGAAGAGCTTCCACAACGGCTGTAGGGTGCCAGGCAGTAAGTACCTACTAAACAAAGCAAGGGGGGGGGGGGGGTAGGAAAGGAACACATTATGCCAGGCACCAGCGGCTCCTCCTGTCATCCTAACTACCCAGGAGCCTGAGATCCGAGGATGGCAGTCCAAAGCCAGTCCAGGCAGAAAAATTCCATGAGACTCTTTATCTCCAATTAACCACCAGAAAACTGCCAGGAGTGCTGTGGCTCAAAGTGATCGAGGGCTAGCCTTGGGCAGAAAAATAGCTCAGGGACAGGGTCCAGGCCCTGAGTTCAAGACTCACACCGACAATAAAAATTTTTAAAAGGAACACACTACTGCACCGAGGACTAACCCACGTGCGGCTTCATGCACAGAAGAGCACAGGATTTAATCGCCGCAGGAGCAGGGTGCCAAGCACTGCCAGAGCTGGAGACACCAAGTCCAAACGAGGAAGTCAAATCTGGAGCAGACCGGGGTGAGGGTTTCAATGGCTCCAGGGTGGTCAATGGTTCGGGGGGTGCAGTGGGCCACGGAGGCCGCGGCCTGGGGTGCTGAGAACCAGGCGGATCCAGTAAGGACTGTCAGCCCGCTGGAGACACAGGAGGAAACTGAGGCTGGGAGCAACGAGACCCGGCCCACGCTCCTCCCAGGCCCGCTCGGCTCGGGTCCCGGATCCGAACCCCAGCACCCCATCCGCACCAAGGGGAAAGCCACGGGCGCTCCGGCCGGGAGCCCGGGCCGCTGGCCGCCCACCCTCCCGCGCCAGCCCCGAGGCCCCACGTGCGGGCTGGGAGAGGAAGGGACGTCCCCTCCGGGGCCGCGAGCCGGGGCCCCCGACGGCACCACGGGGCGCGCGGCGCGTACCCGGCGGCCCGGCTGACGCCCGCCACCCGCCGGGGCCCGATCCGCGGGCCTGCAGGCCGGAGCCCGTGCCCGCCGCCGTCCCGGCCGCCGCCGCCGCCGTCCCGAGCCCGAGCCCGAGAAGGAAGTCGGCGGAGGAGGCGGGGCCGGAAGGGGGCCCGGGCCGGGGCCGGCCGGCGGGCGGGCGGGCCGGCGCGCGCTCGAGGCGGGGGCGTCCGGGCCACCGTCGGGATCCGCAGGGGCCCCGCCGCCCCGCCGCCCCGCCGCCCCGCCGCCCCGCCGCCCCGCCGCCCCGCCGCCCCGCCGCCCCGCCGCGGACCCGGCGCGCTCAGCCCGCCGTCCGGCTCGAGAGTCTCAGCGCCGGGGCGCCAGCCCTCCGTTCGGGGTCACCAACAGACCCAGTTTGGGACGCCAAGGCGCCATGAGGTCGTCTGCTGCCACGCCCGGCCCGCGATCCCGGGCCTGGGCACGGCCTGGATTGGCGCCCCTCGCGGGGACCCCGCTTAGACATGGCCAGGGGGGTCTCACGTCATCCCCTCCTGAGAGCTAGGCGGTTCTCTGTACAGACAGAGCTACCGTCCAAGTATTTATACCTTACATGCAATATATAATTGTATGTAACATAATTGTATGTCATATAAAATACTGTATGTGTGCATAAAGGTAATATATACGTATTACACATACACTAGGCTCTGAACTCTGACCCTCGCCAGTTGCCAGACAGGCCCCCTACGACTTGGTTTTGTTTTGCTGGGCCTGAGGCTTGAACTCAGGGCCTGGGCACTATCCCTGAGCTTTTTGAACTCAGGGCCTGGGCACTATCCCTGAGCTTTTGAACTCAGAGCCTGGGCACTATCCCTGAGCTCCTCAGCACAAGCCTGGAGCTCTACCACTTGAGCCACAGCGCCACTTGCAGTTTTCTGGTGGTTAATTGGAGATGAGTCTCATGGACTTTACTGCCCGGGCTGGCTTTGAACTGCAATCCTCAGATCTCAGCCTCCTGAGTAGCTAGAATTACAGGCGTGAGCCACTGGCACCCAGCTTCTATGACTTGTGTTACTCCCCCCCCTATGACACAAGTCATAGAAGAAGTGACTAAAAATCCAAAGAATTTGGTGTTGTGCAACTGAAAAGGGTGGGAATGGAAGAAAAAGAATGAGCCCTGCAGTGTCCTCCTGGGGACTACTGGCCACTGACGACTTTCATCTAGAGGGGTTGTTAGGGTTGGGGTGCTGTACCTAGAGAGAGGCCCAGTACCTGGAAGATGCATTTGCATTTGCATTTTGCTTGACTGGCTTCACAGTTTCTACTCATTATGTAGAAAGGCCAGAGGTATTTACTGAAGGCCAACACCCTTTCCCAGCCCCCTGTCTCCACAAGTCCACCACATACTCCTCTTGGTATTACTGATTGACTACTTTCCACACCTCATGCCTCTGTTTCCCTATAAGAAGTCACAATCTGCCGGGCGCTGGTGGCTCACTCCTGTAATCCTAGCTACTCAGGAGGCTGAGATCTGAGGACCGCGGTTCAAAGCCAGCCGGGGCAGGAGAGACCGTGAGACTCCTATCTCCAATAAACCACCAGAAAACCAGAAGTGGTGCTGTAGCTCAAGTGGTAGAGCACTCGCCTTGAGCTGAAGAGCTGAGGGACAGTGCCCAGACCCAGAGTTCAAGCCCCACTACTGACCAAAAAAAAAAGTCACAATCTTTTCTTGGCAGAGGAGGGAGCCACTAGTGGCATCAAAGCCCCATGCAGAGATGGTCCCAGAAGAATCTTACCTGACTTTTGTCCTTTTAATCTGGGTCCCCAATTTCTGAGATATGCAAATATACTCAAAAATATGCCACAGATCAGTCAGAGATAGATAACCCCAGCCTTATAAATAGAAGACACTAGTCCTATGAATGCATTGATGGTGTTCATCCTTCTCTGAGACCCCGTTACTGTATTCAGGCATCAGACCCCTGTGTCTCTTGGGACATTAGTTCCACCCCAGAGAATGACAAAAGAGATCCTTTTCTTTGTTACACATGGGGCTTGCAGATACTGCCAGCACTCTCCATAAATAATAGCTGTTGTAATAATCATGAGTTCTGATCTGCACATCCCAGATCGGAATGGCTAATCCAAACAAAAGCTTGTTAACCGTATTAATTTAGCCTAACGGAAGAAGAATGACGGGAATAAACAGTTGGTTCTATCTAATTTCTCACTGCGGCAGACATCATTCTTCATCTCTGTGGTCCAGCTTGCAGATTTCATAATTAAATTATGTACTGTTCTTGGTGCATGCCAGGAAAGCAAAGGAGAAAAATACTTTATTGTTTAACTACAGATTTTTTTTTTTGCCTTGATAAAATTCAGACTTGAAAGAGCCACATAAAGATGATGATACGTAATATCAAGTTGACTGTCTAGTTGCCACTAAAATGTATCTGTCCCTGAACCTCTAGTCTCCTTCCCCCGCCCACTGTTTGGTCATACTCCTCTATAGTCTTTAGGCCTTCATAGATCCATTTCTCTTCTTACCAACCTACAACCAATACATCACCAGTTGCTGCTGGCCCTTCAACCACAACATCATTAAGCTTTCTTCCTTCCTCTGCCCTATAAAGACTGTCATACATAATTTAGTTACTTCTCATCATTCTCCATTTTGGTCAACTCACACACTCCGCTCTGCCATAAATTCAAGATCCTGCTTGCTACAAACACATTACCTTGAATGCTGCAGCGTTTCTCTGAAAGGCCCTCATCTTAAAGATGGCATAATTCATAACACAGGAAATTCTCCTGATTCATGATTTCACAACTTGAGGTTTCAAATATTCTACATTCACAGTAAAACCAGACAGCTAAGTGGGAAAAATACATTCCTTGGTATGTCTTGCTCATTAACACCTTGTAACTCCAAGTGTGACTGTGGGTGTTAAAGCTCTCTTGCTAATACCTTGTATTTTGGTTTATAATTGAGGATCTTTCTTCACCTACCACAGATACAGAGGTTTGCTAGGCTTTCCACCATATATAGATTTCCTCTCCCTGAGCAAAGAGCCAGGCATTACACAGAGGAGTTCAACATGTTCATAAAGACCATTGTCTTTTTCTATTTACAGGACTATAAATTTTCTGTGACTCATCTGTTACATAATTTAGAATATAGTTGAGGATCTCAAAAGTGGAGAAACTAGGGGTGACATGGTCCAAGAAGAAATGTATTTTTACCTGACTTATATAACTGTAACCTCTCTGTATATCACCTTTATAATAACAATTAAAATATTACAAATCCAGGGATTGCCAGGACACAGTGGCTCATACCTGTAATCCTAGCTACTCAGGAGGCTGAGATCTGAGGATCATGGTTCAAAACCACTGAGCAGGAAAGTCCATGAGATTCTTATCTCCAATAAACCACTCAGAAAACCAGAAGTGGCACTGTGGCTCAAGTGGTAGAGCGCTACCCTTGAACTGAAGAGCTGAGGGATAGCATCCAGGCCCAGAGTTCAAGACCCATCACTGACAAAAAAAAAAAAAATTGAAAACTTGAAAAAAAACCAGCAAATAAATTTTTCAGATTGGAGGAGGGGAGGAGAGAATCCAGATTAAAATTAAAAAGACAAAAGTCAGGTAAGATTCTTCAGGGACCATCTTTGCAGGAGTTTTCATGGCATTGATGGACAGTCTGCCTTACCAAGAGCCATATAGCAATCTCCTACCTCCCCTATTTACCAAGAAAAGGATCTCACCTCTAACTAGGGAATTGGAGGCAGGAAGTCTGGAAAATAGCCAGTCTGTTCTGTGCATCAAAGTTTTTTTGTTTTCTTTTGTTTGAGGGGAGGTTGTTTTTTGCCTTACTGGGGCTTGAACTCAAGGCCTCATGTTAACCTGGCAAACACTCACTCAATTGAGCCATGTCCCAACCTTTTTTGCTATATATAAATATATACATATATAAAATAGTCTCGTGTTTTTGCCCTGTCATGCATGAGCCATGGTCCTCCTAGTCCTGCTTCCTGTGCAGCTGGGTGATAGGTGTATACTAGCACGCCTCAGTTTGTGTCTTTGAGATGGAGTTTTGCTAACATTTTGCCCAGCATGGCCTTGAAACATGATCCTCTCAATATTCACAGCCTGAGTACCTGAGGTTGGTATTACGTTTGCCATAGAAAAAGATCACAGGCTTTTGAGTTAGGCTAGACTTTGAATCCTAACTTGACTCTTCCTACCTAAGTGATCTTCAAAAGGTACTTGTCTTCTTGGAGTCTGTACAAATCAATAACACTCATTCAATCTTTTTTTTTTTCCTCTGTTGTGGGTCTTGAACTCTAGGCCTGAGCGCTGTCCCTGAGCGCTCTACTACTTGAGCCACAGCACCAATGAGAGTCTCACGGACTTTCCTGCCCCGGCTGGCTTTGAACCATGATCCTCAGATCTGAGTCTCCTGAGTAGCTAGGATTACAGGTATGAGCCACCAGCACCCAGCTTCAGTTAGTCATGTTAACATTAATTCTCTACTTTGTGCCAATGCTGCAGATACCACAATAAATAAAAGAGAAACCTGTTCTTGCTTCTCCCCTAATAAATGTAGAGTAAATGAACCTCAATGCCAGCCCATCAACATAATAAACTGTTCTAAGTCACTTGGTGGAAGGTCTTTGTTTTTAGCTGGTTGGTCATCAGGAGCATGAGATCTTATTTATATTGTTTAACAGTTG